GTGCCCTCGGCCCAAGACCACGCTAAGTTCAAGTTCTCAGTGCTGGGATTTCTGGACAGCTCAGGGGCTTACACTCATTTCCCAAGTCCATGCTAGGGAAGGCTGTGCTTAAATAGTTCCCGGGAACTTCCCCCACCCCCCGCATCTGGAGCCAAAGCAGGCAAATATCTTTGTCATGATTGGTGTGTAGAGTTTTTCAAGTTTACTTTTCCACCGAGGGTGGCAAATATTGGGTTGCTGGAAAAGTCAGGACGTATTTTTCTGTGTTTCTATGCAAAAATGCACGACTTTTCCAACATATGTGAAGAGCAAGTGTGTATCATTTCCAGCTTCTTAAATTGTGTAGACCCAAGGACTCATCTCCTTATCTGTAAGGACATTAAGTCCCAGGGTTCAGCCCAGCCCCTGTAGCACAGCAGTAAAGCATGTGCCCTGTGGGCCGGAGGCTGTAGAGTTGACTGTGGGCTCGTTTCCATGGGTCCAGCTGGCAATGCTCCAGGTGCACGCATGGGCATCTGGGACCCTCAGAGGCTGCAGGGCTGGGAAGGGGGACTGCAGCATGTTGAGACCCTATTGAGGGTGTTTTTCTTTCTCTTGCTCTCTCTCTTGCTCGCTCTCTTGTGCATGTGCATTCACTCTGTGTCATAAAACAAGAAAAGAAATCCAGAGCTCAGAGCTGGATGGTGGCTCAGTAGTAAAACATAGTGCTCTGTGAGGATGACCCACATGGGAAGGTTCTGGGCTCATGTCCAGAGACCTCCCTGGGCACTCATGTGCCCAAGACCTGGGCTGGCTGAGGCTCGGGGTGTGTGGTGGCATCAAGATCCTGGTGGGGATGCTTATCTCTCTCTGTCTCTTTCTGTCTTTTGCTCATGGAATGAATGAATGAATGAATAAATAGAAATAAAAACTTCAAAGAAAAATTCAGAGCTCTTAGAAACAGATTGGTAAACTCCATGGGGCATGCACAGAGGCCTCAGGACATGCTTACTACTGTGGTTTCCTGGTCTCTCTTCATCTTTGACTCCTGAGAATCCCCACACACACTTTCTTTTTTGTTGGAGAGGTTTTTGCTACAGGTCTTGTGCGCTCACCAGAAAGACAGAGAGGGACAGAAAGTGAGAAATCACCCCCCAGGGGGGATGGCCACGCCGTAATCTCTTCTCCTCCTTTCTCCTCTTGGGATCTTGGGCACGCATGCACACGTACTCAGTGTGAGTTTAAGCCACCCGGTCCAGGACTCGAACCGCAGTCAACTACATGGGAGTCTAGCGACATAGCCATTACGCCAACTGCTGGTCCCCACCCCCCTGCTTTTTTGAAAGTGCAGTCAAATATTTAAAATAAAAAAGATTACATCCAATATTTTTCATTCCTTTAGTTAGCATTGTTTTAGCAAGATTGTTTCCAATTAGTGGAAAAGAAGTTTGTTCTCACAGTCAAAATCACTCCATCTTTAGTGAAATTCTTTAGTGAAAAAAGAAATGTTACCATAACCATGGGGGAGAAAAGTGTGGAATTTAATATACCTAAATATATAAATGTTGCTAACATCCTGGACTGGGTTATAAAACCAGACAGGGTGACAGGATGCCTGAATTAGGTTATACTCTATTTAAACAAGTTTATTTTCTATAATTTAATTCAAAAAATGATATATATGCATATTCATGCACACAAATATGCATGCATATATGGACATATATATATGCATCACACACATATATGTGATATATCAACATATATGCATTGCATACATATATGTGTTATTAACATATATGTGCACAACACACATACATGTGATATATTAATATATACGTACAACACACATACATGTGATATATTAACACATATATGTGCATTGCACACATATATGTGATATATTAACATATATATGCACTGCACGCACATATGTGATATATTAACATATATATGCATTGCACACATATATGTGATATATTAATATATATGTGCATTGCACACATATATGTGATATATTAACATATATATGCACTGCACGCACATATGTGATATATTAACATATATATGCATTGCACACATATATGTGATATATTAATATATATGTGCATTGCACACATATATGTGATATATTAACATATATATGCACTGCACGCACATATGTGATATATTAACATATATATGCATTGCACACATATATGTGATATATTAATATATATGTGCATTGCACACATATATGTGATATATTAACATATATATGCACTGCACGCACATATGTGATATATTAACATATATATGCATTGCACACATATATGTGATATATTAATATATATGTGCATTGCACACATATATGTGATATATTAACATATATATGCACTGCACGCACATATGTGATATATTAACATATATATGCATTGCACACATATATGTGATATATTAATATATATGTGCATTGCACACATATATGTGATATATTAACATATATATGCACTGCACGCACATATGTGATATATTAACATATATATGCATTGCACACATATATGTGATATATTAATATATATGTGCATTGCACACATATATGTGATATATTAACATATATATGCACTGCACGCACATATGTGATATATTAACATATATATGCATTGCACACATATATGTGATATATTAATATATATGTGCATTGCACACATATATGTGATATATTAACACATATGCATTGAACACATGTATGTATGTGATATATTAACATATATATTCATTGCGCACATATATGTGATATATATATATTTTATATATATATCCTTGCTTCCGTAACATTCTGCTCCAGTGTTGGTGTAACTGTAGGAGTCAAACTGAAGACGAGTTGGGAAACAGACTGCATCAAAGAAGGAAAGCAAGATGTCTACGCAGGAGAAGGAAGTGTGGGATGCTCGGAAATCTCTGCTGTTCAATGTCACCGTTGGGTGGAAAATTGGGATCTAGACCCTGGGTACTAAGCAGGTCAGGCCTGCTCTCAGCCGAACTTAACGGCGTCCTACAAGGACGAGCCGCATGCAATGGAGTGGTTGGGCAGTTCTCTCACTACAGCGGACGCCCTTGGCTGCTGGGGAGGGGGGGACCCTGTGAGCACACTCTTTTTCCCAGAGCATGCACTTGCTTACATAGCTAGCTCCCCTGGCCCACTGGCTCACGGCACAGAAGCCACTTCCATGCAGGGCCAAACTGGGGTTCTTTAGCACAGCACTGAGCAATCTGAGGGAAGCTTCTTCATCTTGGTGGTGAGGACGTGAGCAGTAGCAGGGCCTGGGGGAGACGTTTTCTATCCCGAGGGACCACTGGATCTGCTTCCTTCAACCCCGAGAGGTTCAGAATGTGTGAGTGTGTGTGTGTGTGTGTGTGTGTGTGTGTGTGTTGTGTGCGCACGCGCACATGCTGCTGTGAGCGAGCCTCTGCTTGCCATTTTCCTCCCACCTTCCCTGTCAGCACTGATGACAGCCTTGGGCTAAGTGAGAGCTGGGTTTGAGGCCATCAGTCCCAGCTAACACCAGCTCTGTGGATTTAGAAGCTCCGCGCCTCGCTCCCTCCAGGGCAGAACGTGGGTAATAACAGCTTGCATCCCACGCGAGGCCTAGCTAAGACAAGGTGAGGCGCTGCCGTGTGTCTTGGCTCACGTTGGGCACTTGAGACACGTAAGCTCCCAGCCCGATGGGTGCTGGTGCTGGGGCAGAGCAGCTGTGGAAAAAGTGAGCAAGAGAAACTGCCCCGGGCTCTGGCTTCACTTGGCCTAGCGCTGTCTTGCTTTGTTTTTCCTTCCTGCTAATTAATTCCTCACTCCCAGCACAGGATGTGGTGCTCTCCTGTATCCTTCCTGTGTCCTGGCCCTGCCACTCACTAGTTAAGTGACCTTAGAAGACCACGTCACTTAGGACGGGTCAGAGAGCAACACAGCTCTGCACTGCACGTGAGGCCGTGTGGCCCGCCCGAACGAGGTTGGCGGAGGGCCCAAGGACGCTATGTCCCCACAGCCGCCGAGTGGTCCAGGAGACTCCCAGCACCAGCCCCACAGCTGCCCCAGCAGAAGGAGAGTCCACAGCCCCTCGGCCTGTGCCAGACGTCACTCTCCTCCTGACAGATGAGCCAGAACTAGGTCTAGCCCTCCTCACCGTCCCCGGTGCCTCATGTTCCTTATCCACAGAGTGGAGCTAAGACTTCCAGGACTATTAGGAGGACTTAGGGTGCATCTACCAGGGTCCTGGCAGGAGACAGATGGCATACTGGCAAGAATGTATTGTTTCTAGAAGACAATCCTTAATGGGACCGGTACAGAGGTGTGGGCAGACTTAAGGGAACCGTTGAGGGATGTGTCTAAGGTCAAATTCCTTTGGAGCGCAGCAAGCCCGGCTGGAAAACAGAGGTTAACAGGGAAGTACTTTGTAGAGGTCAGGGCTCTGGGTGTTTAGAGAGGAGGGGAATGACCAGCACTTGCAGTGGGTGTTCAATAAACATTCATTCAATTAGCAAGGCTTGGCCAATGTGCCCATTCAGTGCAGCTGGTAGGTGGCTCACCCCACCCCACCACACCACACCTTGGTCTGGCTCCGTTCTCCCATCTTCCCCTCCTGTTCTGTGAAGCAGCTCGCAGATGGGCTGGCTGCAGAGCCCAGGTTGCAGCACAAATCTGGTTGACAGGTCTCTGTGACAAACGTCACAGTCACCATGCATGCACATGCCCCGACGGCACTCGGGCCTGCACTCTTGCTGGTACAGCTTCGGTAGCTTCACTTTGATACGCTTGGCTCCCTGCTACCCACTGGAAGGACGAGGAGTAACTCGGGGCCCTAGGAATCCAAGCCCTTGCTCCTGCCATAGTCCCTAATGGCCTCGCTGCTCTGGGCTGACCCCATCCCAATTGTTCCACCCCCATTTTAATGACATCTGAAGTTTCCCTCCTTCATAGAGAAAAAAAATCCAAACTCCTGGGTTTGTTCTTAAAAGTTACTGTTCCTTTCTCACCTCCACAGCACCTCCTGCTAAGGAAGACCCCAGCTACAGCCAGTATGCACGGTCTCCTACCACCTCCCTCCTTGGAGATTGGCTCCGGACAGACACCCATGTGCCCAGGCCACTTGCTGAAGTCCTGCCTCTCCTTTCAGGGCCAGGCCAACACCAACCTGTGTCAAACTCTCCCTCCATCCTCTCAGAAGGAAAAGAAATCCCTTTTTATTCTCAATATTCTTAGTGACTATTGTCTGCCTGGAGCTTGTAATTCATGTGTTTGTCACCTGCAGCAGATTATGAGCATCACCAAATCATCTTTTTTCTCTTTCTTGTGTTTTTTTTGTATCTACTATATACTTAATAAGTATTTGTGGAATTAGAGGAAATCCATTTTGAACCTTTTTCTAACATCACTCCAATGAGAGTTGGGAAAGGAGAAGGTTCCCTTGCTTGGTATTTAATTTAGATATTCTGTGCACGGAGATTTAGTGTGCATGGAGCCCAGCATTCTGGGTGGCGCCCCTACCACTGGCTTTGCAAAGCACAGGCCACACAGTCTGGTTCTGGCTGATGACTTTGTGACCTTCCATGTCAAATTGTGACCTTCCATTGAAAGCCAGCATGAGGCATGGAGGCTGAAGGTCTGGCTCTCCCTAAGGTACCTGTCAAGAGGGACTCAGAGATTTGCTCCAGGGAGTTTGCGTATAAGGAATTCCAGCAGGAGAGGGTGAGCTGCCAGGAACCCTGCTCGCCTCCCATGAGCCTTCCAGCCAATGATTTATTTGCAAAAATGTCTTCTTCACTATTACTAAGGAGGGTTTGCTTCCCTTGGACATGGTCGGGGGAAATGCAGGCAGCCGTCCGTCCACACTGAGACGGGCTTTAAAGCCTCAGCCCAGCTGTTCTGCTCTCTTGCGTGCCCCAGGAAGTTGGCAACGGTTTCCTGTTGCTCTGCCGTGCCCCTGCTGCTGCCCCAGAACATCAGGAGACTGCTCCTCCCTATCTCTCCCTCCTTGAAGCGCAGCTTAGAAATAATATCCTGTGTTTGTGTAGCATGTTCCAGCAAGACTCCCAGAGCCCTTTGCAAACATCAGCTTATTGTTCACACGCCTCTCCTCCTTCTCACCATGTCATGGCAAAGCAATGATGGAAGGAACAGGACGTCTGGTGGAATGGGAGAACTGCATTTGGAATATGAAACAGGAGGTTTAAAAAAAAAATGGGAAAGATCAGAAAGCGTAAGTTCCAGAGTTCAGAATAAAGTTGCCCTGGAATGTTCCTTAAGATTCTGACCACTTTTTTGGTGACATTTCAGTATGGTGCAACTGCTGTCTAACACTGTAGGGAATGGCAGATGTACTGCATTTTGCTAGCTGGATATGATCATTAAAATCACTATTTCATTGGGACCAGCAGATGGCGTAATGGCTACATTGCTGGACTTACATAGTTGGCCGGGGTTCAAGTCCTGGACCCCGTGGCTTCAACTCACACCAGAAGTGAGTGCGTGCATGCCCAAGATCCCAAGAGGAGAATGAAGGAGAAGGGACTGTGGCGTGACCACCCCCCAGGGGGTGATTTCTTGCTTTATGTCTGTCTCTCTCTGTCTTTCTGGTGAGCACATGCACCCTATAGCAAATCCCCCCCCCAAAAAAAGATCACTATTTCATTTTTGCATAGAACAGACTGCTATAAGAAGCCTGTTATTTTTTGTTTGTTTGTTTTAGAGGTTTTTGCTATAGGGCGTGTGTGCTCACCAGAAAGACAGAGAGACAGAAAGCGAGAAATCAC